CGGTGCCTGGCTGGTGGACTTCTTTGGCTTTGAGATGTTGCATCTTGATTGTTTGGTGTGTTACCAAATTACGACAGATTTTTGCCCTCCGTTCCTTTTTTAACTTGCAAGTTTCTTAGGAATATGTATTCTTTCTAATAGCCTGCTCTAACTAAAACCCCACGTGCCTCCCTCATCTCTTGATTTATATTTTTTCATAACTCTAGTCCTTCTTAAAATGCTTTCTGCATATACTTTGTCGCTTAACAGGTATATTGCCAAGTATAAATGCAGCATGGCAACTCAGTCTTTGGCAGTGGTGGTGTTGCAGATGCAAAGTCTGTGCAAATTGACTAACTGTAAATCTCAAAAATCAGATTTGTGCATGTGTTAGAAAAGAACAAATCTGAAGAAAAAGGTCAAATTTTTCTCAATGGATTGTCCAAAGCTGTGCTTCTCAACCTACACACGGGGTTTGAACTTGCTGCCTTGTCCTGTGATGTAAATCCATAGTTAATTCTGCTCATGCTAGATGGCATTACTTCCTTATGTTAGTGCAAATCAGAGGAGAGGCTCTTGCTTTCATTCCCAGAGGAAGTGATTTGGTGTTCCAGTCCCTGAAGCTACCAACGTCTGCCCTTTGGGGGTGCCTCTGAGGGCTGTTAGCTGTAGGCTCTTGCTTTGCTTTTTCTGTAGTGTGTTTTGCTTACTCTATTATAGGAAACAATCAGTAATTTCTTCCTGTGAGAAACTGAGAACGTAGGAATAAAGCAAAACATTTGTCTATAGGCTGCAGTATGTGGCTGGACTTCAGCTCTGGAAAGGGTTGATAGGGCACTTGTTAATCCCCCCTGCATGCTTTTAAGCTTAGATACCTTCTTAAGACTTGCTAATGAATCTTGCTTACTCAACCAGCATCTCTGCTAGCTGATGCATAGCCATGGCAAACTTGCTGCCATCCTGTCTGGAAAATGGGCAAAGTAGAAAACCTGACAGAAAATGAAACACCAAAGTCAGATCAATCCTGAACCTGAATCAAGCTTACTTTCCCTGTGATCTGGAAAGCATCTGGCAGATTTTCAGTAAGCTGTCTGGGAAAGAGGATGCCTCCAAGAGGCAACCTCATGTTGGGAGCCCTTCAGGAGCTGATATAAGATACCTTTGTATTGACTTACATTTTCTGAACCTTGTTTATCCTTGGGCTTGTTCATATGTCTAGATATGAATAGTCTGGATATGTGTATTAGATTTGAGGCAGAAGGACCTCTGACACTATAAAATCCTGAATTTCACTGCATCGTGATTGATACAGGATATGTTTTGTGCTGTCACGCTCCAGTCTGAGCTCTATACATGCACAAAATCAGTTGCAATGGGCTGTGAACAGCAGCATGGAAGTTGTTTGTTTTTTTTTTTTCTTCTTCTGTTGCAATTTGCTGCATAACTGATCTTCTTTGCCATCATGACCACTTCTAAAACGCAGCTTGTGATTGTGTGCACACATGCCTGAGGAGTCACAAGAAACTGGTACTGTAGTGGCAAAACATCTCTCTTGGTTTTCCTCCAGTAGATCTTTGTGAAGGGGATGGCAGATGGGAGAGGGTGTTCTAGAGAAGTCCATACCCGAGGCCGTAACCTCCATCTATTTCTGAAAATGGTAGATGCGTGATGTATGCTATTTGCTTTATTGGTGGAGTCTGTTCTGCAATTGATGATGACTTCGTATATGTGTGACTTGGAACTGTTGTGTTTGTACAGATGACAAAAGCAAGGCTAGTTATCCCAGCTGTTCCTTTTCTTGCACTACTGTATTTCTTATTCAAATTACTTAGCATTGCTGGCTTTTCACCATATCAGCCATGGCTTCAGTTGCAGGTGAAGCAGCTTTTCTCTTGGAAATTAAAATTAAACTTCTACTGGTGCTTTCCTTTGGTAGCAGGACCCAAAATGCATTTCAGTATCATGAAAGAGCCTGTTTTTTCCTTTCGAGGTCTGCAGCTGCCTAATGTTCATGCACAGGGAAACAGTCTAGTGTGCAGAAGATACCCTCCTTGAGTTACTGCTTCGATCATTGGAGTTATGGTGAAACAGAGGCTTAAGACCTGGGTTTATTTGCCACTGCAAAGGCATGTAGTGTTCTTGGACTTGGATGTCTGATGAGGATTCAGAAAAACTTCCTCTAGCATGTGTGCGGTATTTTAGTAAGCATGTCTTGCTGAAGAGAACAAACCGAACTCTTGTAAAGTATTTGTGCTAACTAATGTAGAACCATAGGTTTCACTGGGCCTTCAGTAACTTTTCATTTGCTCCTAGTTGAGCGTGAATTTTCCACCACTTAAAGTGACTGCTATTCCTTTGCTTTATCTCTTATTCCTACAGGTTAGTACAAGATGCAACACAAAACAGAAGCCAGGGAGATGAACTGCTAGGTCTCTGATTTTTTTATTTTTGATGTGTCTGATTTTTGTTACTTTTGCTATCTCCTTTCCCATTCATCCTGACACCTTCTTGTTTTTGTGGAACTTCTCAGCCTCCCTGAGAAGGGATAAAGTTCCTTTTAGTCATGTACTCAGAGATGCAGTGGCTACCTGTAACAGCATTGGCAGATAAGCACCAACAGTGAAGAAAACAAGAAAGGAGATCTCATGAGACAAGTAGCAAAATGAGACAAAGAACCACTGACTATCTAAAGCTTTGCCTAAAACCAGTTGAGCCCAGGGAGCAGGAGGGAAAACTAACATGTAGGGAGAACACCACCATGTTTATTCTCATAATTTCTTCATGTTTAAAAAGTTTGGGTGAGTTCAATGGGCAACTTCCTAGTGCCTGACCAAAAGGCAGTTCCACTGTGTTAAATGGGAAGTCTGCAGTAATGAAATACGAGGAAACTGTTTGGAAAGGTAAGGTGGAAGGAGGGAGACTTCAGGGAGCAAGACACTTGAAAACGGGATCATAAAAGGAATGTTTACTATATATATGTGTTTGAAGATATAGGTTGATGCAAGTGGCTTGAGAAGAGCCGGGTGTTGGCAGACAGACCTTCTGTAAGAGTCTGCTTTGAAAGGAGTATCTTAGGCCTGAATCTCTAAAATGTGAATACATTCGCAATGTGCATACACGTCACTTCATAGCTTACAAACTTTGTCTCAAGGTAGGAATGAAACCCAATCTGAAACTGCCCGACTCTGAGACAATCCATAATTTCTCCCACAGTTGTGTCCTGTACCTTGCTATGTGGATTAATTGATTTAAAACGTTAAGTCAGCTGTACTCTGGGTGGATACCTGTTATCTTACCGCATCCCTCCTGGGAAAAGGAATTGAGCATGTTCTCTGTTGTCTTGTCCCCAAGTCTCTCTCCTGTGTTGTGTTCTGCTTTCCCAACACGCTATAATCAGTTCCATCCTTCTTAGCCCCCTTTTGATAGCATCAACACCTTTTTTTTTTTTTTTTTTTTTTTGCCAAACCCCTGCTCCCAGGCTCTCTGTTCATCCAAGGAAAAAGCCCCTCTTTGCGCTGCTGAGAAGCCAGGGGTGATACGTCTGCAGCTGGGGTGTGTTTTCTTTGGCAAATGCAACCTTTGAAATTGAGTATTCCTTGTAGAGGATGGAAGGTTTCAAGTATGTTCAAGGCTGCTGTTCCCATCAGGTTTTTTCTTTCTGTTGACCTTCTTCAGGCCTTCAGTGGTATAAGAGCTGCCTCTTGGGTTGCTTTTTACGTTTCCTTCCCATCCTGGTTGCTTTAGTGTGTTGGCTTGTGAAGCTTTTCATGGGCAGTAGAATTTGTCCTGCTTTGAATAAGTAGTTCCAAAGCCGCTAGGCTACTTTTTTATTTATATAGGGCAATAAAAAAGATCGATGTTATTACCATGTATGTAACAGCACAATTTAAGCATTTTCTTTGGCTTTCTCAGCATGATAGGTCCTTTATACAGCAGTATTCCAGAACCTGTGCTTTTGTGCATTTATGAGCACATTTTCTTTGGCTAATAAATAATAACACCAACCTTTGAACTCAAACATAAAAAATAGATGTAAAAATTTTGTAAAGGTATAGCTCATTCTAATGTTAGATTATAAATGCAGTAATTTCAGCAAGTTGAAATGGCCAGATTTGTCTGTGTGGAGCAAATTTTAGCAGTGCTGTTCTACTGAAGGTGATTACTTCTAGCAAATCCTGAAAATGTTCTTTATTTTCTTGTTCTGTGAAAAAAAACCTTGTGAAAGCTAATTAAGGCCATTATTGAAAACCTAGTTAGTATGATTGTGAAATCACTCATCCGCTAGATTAATAATTGAGATTAACTTTTTGCCCAGGTTATCTAAATTTCTTTGTGTGAAGTACGGGAGTTGTACCGCTGCGAATGATGTCTGATTTGAAACCTGATAGTTGAAATAATCAGTTGGTAACTCGACAGCTGTTTAACCCAAGGGCAAGTTCTGATATCTGGCATTGTAGTGTCTCAATGATTTCTCATTTTGCTTAAGTTCTTAAGGGCTGGAAGTATTCCATTCTTGAGCATATTAATAGATGTTGTATACTCAGCTCTAGCATCTTGAGCTTCTGATAATTTCTTCCGTTTCTTCTCATTATACAAAGACTAACAAAGATCTCCCCAGCGTAGGAAGGTGAGAGGGGAAAAACTTCAGGTTTTTTTGTTTGTTTTGGTTTTTTTAAAATTTGGTTTTCAGTGGGTCATGTTACACTTTTGTGCTTTGGGTAAGTGTGAAAGATTTGCCTGCCCTTTAACAGTGGCTCCTTAGGTTGAGCAGCGCAGAGTGGATGAGGATGTCCTTGGTTGTCTTATTTGACAGTGGCCAGCTGGTGAATAGCTGCCCTCTAATATCTCTAAATGATAGTGTTATTTGCACACCAAGTTGTCCAGATGCTGTTCTGAGGCTGACACGTTGGACTATGAGCCACTGAAGTGAGCACCTGATTAATGTTGTCTTTTCTTGTTTGGTTTTTTCTTTTTTCTTTTTTCTCTGTTGCCTGCCTTCCTCCTTTTCCCGCTTAACTCAGAAAAACTGATTGAGGGACTCAAATCTCCTGAGACTGCGCTTCTGCTCCCTGATATCCTGCCTCTCGCTGACCCTTTCGGTAGCACGTCAGATGCTGTGAATGGTAAACATAAACTCAGGGTGCTTCCTCCCCTCTGTCTTACATGGCATGTCTTGTCCCGCATGGTTACTCTGCGCGTTTACCCCCACTGGGCCCTCAAAACAGCTGCTGCTGTTGGTGAAGTGCAATGTGGTAGGAAGTTATGGATTATGCTGAGACAGATCTGCCTTTTCTCTATCAGACTAGCATCTGAACAGCAAAGACTTGGTATTTGCATTTTAAATCTAGGCTTACCAATTTGGCACAATAACATGGCATGGTTCTGCTTTGTGTGCTCTTCTCGTCTTGGTAGAACTTACCAATTTGGCACAATAACATGGCATAGTTGTGCTTTGTGTGCTCTTCTCGTCTTGGTAGAAGAAACTTAATTGAAGGAGATGATGAAAAAAAAAAAATCCCTCCATTTCTGCAAAAGACTTCATGTGTAACCATGGCCCAGGCACTGAGCCTGTGTGTGTCTCTGTCAATCCTCAGTAGGATGAGGACGACAGCATTGCCTTTGACCTGGGCCATATGCAGAGAATAAACGTGCTAGGCTACTGTGAGCCCAGATGCAACAGGCTCCAGGCAGTATAAAGGTTTCAGAGTGTTGCAGAATTGTGTTTTGGTCTATTTACCAAATGTACTAAAGACTAATAATTGCAGGCTACAGTTAGTTGCAATCAGCTGCTTATATGGTTTTGCGTTCCAGCCAGGGTCTCCTGCCGGCTGGTTGCAACCTTGTAGCTTTGAATAGAGAGGTAGGAAATGAGTCACCTTCATAACAAGACTTTTTCTTCCTTTTGCAATTTCTGGCAGTTGTCTGAATACTCTTAGATAATGATCCTGCAAATCATGGACATGCACACTGCTATGCAAACAAAAATATTCATTAATCTCTCTTAGGTTGACCAATTAGACCACTTCTGGTCCCAGCATTTGAGTGCATCCTTGTTCTTTAATTTAACTTCTTGGTCATTGCCTTGACGTTGGTCCTTGGGAAGAGACCCTGACGAGCATTATACCTGTCTGATATGGCTGTGACATCTCTTCCATGTGTCTCCCCCTCCCCTTTGTGGTTTCTATAAAAGCAAATCTTTCTATCCAGCCTTTGTAAACGTCTCCTTTTGTATCCACATAATAAGCATCAACAGTAGATGATACTGGGGACTGGTGTTTTCAGTAAGACGTTGCGTTCCAAAACTTTATCACCTCTCTGTGGGGTCTGCAATCTCTACTCCGCTGGGAACTTAAAATGAAAAAACAAAACCCAAAAAACCCACAAAAAACCCCCCACAAACCCAAAAACAAAAACAACCAAACAAAAACCCCCACATCTTGACTTTTTACAAGCTTAACTGGGAATATGCTAAGGGCTCCACAGTAGGTATTTTAATGATCTGTTACTTCTAAAGCAAGGGGACTCCTTAAAGGTCAGTATTTTCCTTTTGCTGGAAAAGGCTCTTGCAAAAGCTTGTAGTTATTTGCCCAGACGCAGGGCAGGGATTATTAACCTCCCATTCCACCTTCTGGATATTTCAGATTGGGCTTTCACAAATTAAAATAAACCACAGAAAAACTCAAACTCAACAAACCCTAATGCGTTACAGTCTTCCCTCATCGTTAAATTAATGTCAGTTTAACTTCAGCCCCTTGTTGCTGCCAGCATAGCTGACGTGTTACAGGATCACTAAAGGGTTCAGATGACTGCCACCTTAGTTCCTACTTACGCTGTGTCTTGCAAGCTAACCTCTGGCTTCTTCTCTGCTCTGGTATTTTGCACATTTGGAAAGGAAAACCTGATGTAGCTGTTGAGAGTCTCATACCGGGCCTCGAGGCTCCGTTGCCCCAACGCCTTGTGTCACAGACCGAGTCGGTTGCCTCCAACAGAACAGGTTGGTGAGGCGGGAGGGTGTTTGGGGGGACAGGGATACAACATACTGATGTGGGCTGTGTAAATCAGAAAACACTGTCAGCTTAAACATAAGTGTCTCTTCTCTCACTGCTTTTCCCACCAGTGTAAATTGGGCTTGCTTGTGTGTCTTGTAAGGGAATGCTGCGTGGTTCCTTGAAGGTCGATGTTACTTGTGAAGAATGGTGCGGTATTCCTTCAGCCTGCCGTTACAGATCTGTGGGTGCCAGAGCATTGCTCTGATGAAGTGCTTCTGAAATCTGGAGCACTGAGCTTTCTCTCTGCCATTGGGGCATTGTAGTAAGCGATTCATGTCCCTTTCTTACTGAGAAGGCCTTGATCTGGCCACAGTGGATGGACTTGACCTCTTTTCAGAGGTCTCTCATGAAATAGGCAGTGCAGTTAGTTTTGCCAGAGAGTCCCTGCGACTCTGTTCCCTACTCATGCTCCCCTTCACTGCCCCCACTTTAACCTGTCACTTGTGTGGGATTTTGTTGTATGCTCAGCATTAGAGGGCAGGTAGCCCCAGAGAATGTGTTATGTGTTGCTAAAGGTGTTGGGAATCCCTCTGCCCTCACTGCAGAGCAGTAAGGAATGTTTGCTTTTTTGGTGGTTTTGCAACAAAGCTCTGTTTGTACGCTATGCGGACGGGAACAGGAATGTGAGAATATGAGCTTAACAGTGTTTGTGTCCTGTTTAATGCTACCTTGCAACCTTTGGATGCTAACCTGGATCCAGACTCTCTCACTGGGGAAGACTCTCTGCTTGACTGTTCTCTGCTTTCTAACCCTGCTGCTGACCTCTTGGATGAGTTTGCTCCTGTAGCTTTCGCAGCTCAACCTCACAAAGGTAAACTGTCCCTTTGTCTCTAACAACTAATCAGTCCTGGGACGCGGTCTTTAGCTATTGTCAAGTGAAGCTGATACTGGTTTACAGGAGCAGATGCTGTGTTCTGGTGGTGGTGTGGGGTTTTTTTGTGTGTGTTGTTTTTTTTTTTACCCCAAGCCATTGTTTTGTTTTCTTCCCAAGCTGGTGAAACTTGGAATGCATATTGAAGCACTAAGGGAAAAATATGGATAAAAGTATTTGGCTTGACTGTAAAGACAAGGTTTGTCAAAACAGGTGACATCTTCCATGAAACAAGGATAGAGCAGAAGGGGTACAGTAGGCTTAAAGGGAAGGCTTTTGTATGCACCGCTTCTTCAGGTTTGTACGTGAAAGTACTCTGGTTTTGCTTTTTGCACATGGGATTTGAGACCTGGTTTTGTGCTGCATTATTAATTCTGGAAGGGAGCCTGAAAATCATTTATACTTATGTCACAGGTTTTTGAAATTAAAGGAATTGTTTTGTGGTTTGTTAGTTAGCATCCGAGGCATGTGAGTGAGCGCTCTCAGATCTACAGAATGTTCTCCTTTTCAGACGTTATCAGGAGAAGGTTCTTGAGGCAACTGCAGCATCACAGCAAATATGAATGAAAGTCTAAGTGCAATATCCAACTGAAAAATGGAACAGTTTCATAGTAACACAAAAAAGCAGCGTTGAAGAAGAGAAGCAGACCGTGTGTAGTAATTCCTAAAAGCTGCAGATCAGCCTTCGCAGTACATCAATATTTGAGCTTGAGTAGAATTGTGGAAATACTGTGCAGTGATCTGAGTTCTGTTCTCTTTCTGCTAACAAGCAAGAGTAGAGGACCCTGGGAAGCTGGGTCCTAACTCGGATGACCTTTTTTTTTTTTCCAAACTGCAGAGCATCCAGCTGAAACCTGGGCCCTCTCCATGCAGTGTGGCTGGAGCAGTGGCACTGGAATAGTTTGAAGAGCTATCAGCTGGAGCGTGACTTGCACAGTGAACTTCTCTGTTCTGGCACATCCCTATTATGGGCTAAAGCAGTTGTGAGCAGTGCACGTGTGCCTTTGGGACAATGCCAGATGTTAGCGGATGACTCTCATGTAAGCCAAGCTTGTAGTGAGCATTGGGTAGTACACATCCACCCGGGTGGGAGGGAAGACCAGGACTTCTGTGCTATTTATTGCCTTGAAAGGAGGGACCCAGAGCACAAATGCTAGCTACTGGTGCCTCTTGACGATCGGTTTTGCTTAACTCATTTGGTAAGTATCCCTATAGCAACAGAAAATGATCTGTCCTCGGAGGAATTGCTGTAAAAAGAGTCTGTAATCAATTTTTACACTTGATGGCACTTCAAAATGAGTTTGTGTTTTTCATAGAGCTTTTGGGTTTAAACAAGCAGTTGTTCTAATTGCTCATTGCTATAATACACTTCCATGCCGCTTTATTTTGAGTAAATGGCTTGAAAAATATGTTGAGCAGTTATTACTTCGTGTCTGGAACATAGCAAAACCAGAACATTGTCGATGTGACTTAATGAGCAAATGAACTAATGGACTCCTGCATGACTTCTCCTGGGCTGTCCTGCTGTTCCCTCTGGGATGAGAAGGGCTCATATTTGATGAGGAAAGTGACACTTCTGTTAGAAGGAGTGGCGGGGGGGGGGTGTGTGTGTGTGTGTGAAATAGTAAAATCTTCCAAAATTCATTTATGGCTTGTTTTCAAACCCTGCTTTTATAGCTCTAGGCATGGTCATTAACTGTACATTTGTCTTTTTTTTTTTTTGTCTGTTTGCTTTGTTTACCCAATCCTGGCTCTGGTGAGGTAAAGCACCAATAAAGCACCTATGGGACAGACGCTGCTCTCCATGGTGTAACCAACCTATGGACCTGCTGGTGATAACATTGCAAGTTATCAGTGGGACTAGAAGACTTGAAAAAGCAGCCATGGTCCGGGCATGGACTGATGCTCCAACCATGCCATAGCATCTTTTCCATTGTCCTTTCCTAGGCTGTTTTCTGGCCTCTGAATTTTTGCTCAGCCTTCAGTATTCCTTAATTTGCATTTGCTGAATACAGCACCAAGCTGCATATATATGAGAGGGGAGAATTTTTCTACTTATGGTGATATCTAGTCACTGAGGTGAGCTCAAACACTTTTGAAGGAGTTTTGCCCGAATAGAGACCCTCAGCAGCCTTTCTCTCTCTTGAGGAAAGGTAGTCTGTAATTGGACACTGCTCCTTCAGCAGCTTCTTGTACAGCAAACTGCAGAGCTATGAGCAATTGTATGTATAAATGAAGTGAGATGGAAATGGGATGCTTGCAGAGGCTCCCAGGGAGGTTGAGAAGAGCCACAAATAAATAACTCCAGAGACAGAATGATGAGAAGATGAGACTTTCCGTTAAGGTGAAATGTCTTTGTTTTTGACACTTTACAGGCTAGTATATATAAAATAAAAAGTATGTAAGGCTAGTATATATAAAATATGACTTGTATATATAAAATAAAAAATACATAAAAAGTATAAAACTCCTATAAAATTTGTGGGGATTTTTCCTGGGTCTGATCTTCCCGAAGACGGTGTATTTCCACAAGTGGTTGCTTGCATCATCTTACCCAAAACCTGTTAGCATATTTGTCAGCTTTAGATAGGAGTCAAACAGGAATGTTCCTGTTCCTCAGAAACCATTGACTTGTACGTGTCCTTGCTAGGCTTCCAGAAGTATTTCATGTAGTAATTGAGGACCAGATTTTGGGAAGGTATTTTAGGTGTCTAAAGTAATAAGTAGTGATGCATAGCAAGAGTGTGAAAGTCCCTAAAGGTATGTAATTGCCTGATAAGGCAGATAAATTTCTCATCTACTGTGGAGACTGTTGAAAGTGCCTCCCACCAAGTGTCTAACTGCAGTTGACGTGGTTTGAAATCAATGAAATTATGTGCCAGAACTGCTCTACAGGCCTTTAAAAAAAAAAATATCTCTCGTTATCTAGTTACAGCTTCAGGCATGTAAAGTGCTTGGAAATCTGACTTCATACTGCACTTCTTGTTTTATCGCTGTAGGTGAAAGCTCAGGGGTTTTGTCTCGTGTAGATGACTGGAATTTCTTCTGTATTTTTTTTTCTCAGCCCTTTCCTTCTTCCCGTGCATGAGAAGTAACCAGAGTGCCAGGTTGCGCTCAAACTGTACTAATACCTGACAGCCAGTGGTTGATGACAAAGAATACCTTCAGTCCTTGGGAGCTTAAGCCCCAGGCTTTTACACAGCTTTGAACTATGCCAATTGTTAAGCCTTCAGATTGGCCAGATTTTATTTTGGTTCTCATGAGTTGGCTTGCATTTTGTTTTGTTTTCCCCATCCACTTTTGTATTTAATTGGTTCTCTTACTTCTTACCTTCTTTACCAAAGACTTACCAACTTTATTTCACCTTTTAAATGAAATTCCTGCTTCTAAACCCTGTCTCGGAAACATAAAGGTGTTCTAACACTTTTTAGCAATTCTAACCAGCCTTCTCTGCTATCTTTGCTTCTTTACCTCTGTTTCTCCTTTATGCTGCAGAAGATACTAACCTGATATCAGGCTTTGATGTTCCTGAGGGCTCTGAAAAAGTGACAGAAGATGAGTTTGACCCAATTCCAGTGTTGATATCCAAAAATTCACAAGGTAAGCCAGGATTTGGGGGTGAAAGAGGGAAGGAAAAAAAGAAAAGTTCTGGGGCAGTAGTGCTACAGCACATGTGAAATAATTCAAATCGTAAACTGTAAGATAGTGTCATTGTAGTATTTAGTGAGCTTAGTCTTTCTCTGATTTACATTGACCTTGAAATTTCTCTAGATGCTCTGTTTGTGAGAAGATTGCATGTCCAAGAAGATAATAGGTGTGCAAGCATCTTTTGGTCCCATGAAGTAATGTCTGCTAGGCAGGGCACACAAATACCTCTGTGGCTGAAGTGCGATGGAGAACTGCGTTCTCCGATGTTCTTATTTACTGTTCAAGCCAACGGGAGGAGGTCCATTGACACTTAAGTTAACTTGGCATGAGGCGCAAGAAAGGGAGATGACGGTAATCCTTTGTAACTCAAACT